TTGAAATAATAAAAAGATTTGAAGGGTTATAAAAAAAAAATATTCTCTAGGATGAAAGACCGACACCTACTGGCTGGAGTTCCACGATATGCGAGCTTCTGGATAAATTGTTAATCTTGGCACCAGGCGCACGAATATCAACGTTAAAGGAACTGAAGCAAGTGAACGCTATGAAAGAACTCGACTTTGACAAAGTATTGAACAAGCAGATCAAGCCATCGTTCACACCGCCAAAGGATCATCTGAATTGCGATCCGACGTTCGAACTAGAGGAAATGATTATTGAGACGAAACCGTTGCACAAAAAAAAGAAGCGTCTCGCGAAGCAAAGGTGAGCGGACTACGAAAAAGGATGGAGTTAATTACTAGATACTTGTTCGTATCGTATGATCTTGCCTCTTGCTGAAAAGAAATTGAAGAATTTCGAAGATATTGATCAAGCACAGAGACTTTTACTTTCTTCCAATACTCTCGTTTTTATTGGAATCCCTTTAAATCTATCGTCATATCGATCATCGTTCCGTGAGAATCCCTATTTCCATGAAAGAAAATTCTATTATAATTTATTATCAAGATAATCATTGAAAGTTCTTTCTAAATTATAAAATATCCTAAAGTAATGGATAATTAATTGACGTGTTGGATAGAATATCTTATCTTCAGATAAATTCTTAAATGAAAAATCGAATAGTCGAAGATTTCTAATAAAAACAAAGAAGTAGTAAGTAAAGCATTAGGAATCCCTTTCCAATTCCAAGATATCTTTCGTTTCCAATTTAAATCTGACTTTCCCATCACCGATCTTTTCCAATCATCCAATTTATAAAAATTCTTTCGAGTTAGCGACCACTGAGAAATTACTTTTATAAATCAATTCGCAAAAATCATAAATCAACAACAAAAATCCATTGATTTTTTCATTAGCGATCGCACTTATAATTTTCCACTTAACAAAAGAAATGTTGAATGTACATAGATCGTTGAAAGTCGATCATGCACCCGAAGACACGGGGATTGGATTCGTGGAGGGTGCCGGACCAAGCGTCGATTTCAGAAGATTAACATTCATTCCGGAATATCGGGTGTACAATCGGGAACGCGAGATGGAAAGGAAGGAAAGGGAGAGAAAAGAGAAACAGTGGGAGGAGGATTTGAACACTGCCATGAAAGGTGCCGAGGAAAGGCTGAAGTGAGTTAAATTATTCTTTTAATTACTGTTGTGTTCTATAATTGTTCTTTTTTTTTCTTTCTTAATCATAAATAATCGTAAGTAAAAGTAATTCTGGGATATTTATTATATATTAATATTAGTTCCGAGAGAGAATTTAATGAGAAAAATAAATGGAGTTTTTGTAATTAAAGATAGCATTTTTTGGTGTAGCCATAAAATAATCGTATATAGATAGATTTTTTTCGTTTCTAGAAATGAATTGTAACTCGTTTAATTTTCATGAAATTGAAAGAAAAAAATTTTAATTATTATCATTTTATTGAATGTTTCATTGTTTTTTCATATCTTATAAAGACATTATTATAAATTAGTATGGACAGAAAAGATTAATAATAAATAATTTCTTTCAAAGTTTCAAGTACAAATGAAATTTCGAAAGAGATACAGATGAAATTTCGAAAGAGATACAGATGAAATTTCGATATGATATTTCCTTTTGTGGAAAATTTTATCTGGAGCATTATTTCTCTATGAATCTATCAAAAAAATCATAAATTTTTAATTAATTAAAAATTAAATCGAATAAAGTCTCTGAATATGAAATGATATGTTTTCAGTCGATTTTTGTGCCTTTAAAAACGAAAATCTATCGATTGAGAATAATATATAATTGTACATATATATAACAAATTATAAAATTCGCGCCATAAAAATATATATTATATTTCATATTTATTATATTAAATATAATATAAACGATCCTATATCCTATAATATATATCTTATTTTGATTTCGTTTTTTACGATATAGGATAGTTAAATGCAACAAGAGTTTCATATTCTTCGATAAAACGTTCGATTTATATAATTTTCCGATATAAAATTTTGTCGTTCTCGATGAAATGAAAAAAATAGAATGATTCGTGTCATTTTTTTCGTCTGTCCTTATAATCATAAAATCATAATTTCTGAGAAGTTTAAAAATTTCTATTCTTCAACATTTATCAAATATTTCTTTTTTTTTAAATATTAAATTTAAAATTAAAATTAATTTCTTTTTCCACGAATGAATTTATTATATAAAGAAATTTGATTCGATAATTATAGGACGAAACAACAGCCAGCACAGCAAACCGGAAACCGATTGAGCGTATCGACTGCTAATGTGAAGACACGCATAAGTGCATCCCCGAGACAAGGAAGACGGATTAGCAGTGCAACACCGTCGGATATAGACTATATCGATGCAAGTCCCGAACCTTCCACATCCTAAATTCCTTCTGAACATTTTGCTATGTGAAAAAAATCGAAGTATATAACTGTAAAGAACATTTTGAACAGTGAACTTCGTTAAAATTTGTTCTCCAATTTATAGAGTGAAATATTTATAAAATTCATTCTCGATCGTGATAAGTTTGAATCTAGTCTTTTGACGATCGACAGTTTTCTTTGATTTCAGGAATTATTAGAAGTTAATATAATAGTCATGAATTCAAAAAAATAATTAAAAATTAAAATTTTATTCGTCTCTTCTTTTTTTTTTTTTTTTTTTTGTATTTTTTTTAAATTATCGTGATCACACGAGTACTAAAGAGAAAAGACGCGGATGTTTAAAATAGCATTATAAAAGATATATTTGCTGCAAGAAATGTCCATTAAATAATTTCATTTATGTTGTAGTTTTCATGGGAAAAAAGAAATGTTGAATTATTCGATCTATCAAAATGAATGTTATAGCAATTTATTACTTAGTCAAATAATCACCGTCATGATCAATATCCGTTCTAATCAATCCGTTTCTGCGATATACATATTATATTAGAGAATTCATTTTATTTTTCTTTAATTTTTTTTAATTATCATCATTATTGATGATAATTATTGTTCATATGGCCGTCATAGTCGCAACACTCGATAGAAATGAAATGTCCAATTCCTTAAACGTTCGTAACTCTAACCTTAAGAAATATAAAATACTCGAAATTTATGATTAAACGGTAGAAAAAGTTTAACATAAATTTTTGAATAATAATTTTACAAATAATCGTTTTTCCAAAAAAAATTAACATGTATCTCAATCGATTAAGATCTCACACTATATTTCATTCTCTCTTAAAAAAAAATGTATCATTTATTTTTATAAAAAACGAAAAAAGAATAACTCGACCAAACTGAAGCCTTTTAAAGAGCATTTTACCAAAAACTTAGCGAAAGGAAGAAGAAAAAAGAATTATGATGTTTTCTCTTTCTCGATCTTACTTTTCTTTTGAAAAAAAAAAAAAAAAAAAAAAAAGAAATTGAAACTAGCACGCGATCCAAAACATATTTAATCTTCGTACTTTACAAACTTATTCTTCACATAGTTGATGCATATTACTTAACTTTTTTCTTAGAAAGTTACTAAACTCGTGTAAAATTTTTATTCCAATAAATTTTGTAACTTCAAATAAAATTTAAGATTTATAGAGATACAAATGAAAATCGTATCGTTTGAATCCTTTAACAAATTGAAATGATTAACTTTATAAAAACCACATCTTTTCTACTTGCCATCATTTCATGTACATATTTCGAATTTTATTTAAGAACATTAAAGTTACTTCGATAATCAAACCGACGAACACCAAGAATATAATGTAATTTTATAAATAATCATAAGGAAAGAATATATCTACGTTATAATGTAAAATTAAATTTAAAAAACGGTAATTTAAAAAACGAAAAAATGAATTGAATATCATTTATCGAATGTCTCTGTTTCTTTTGCAACAAATAATAATTTTCTTTGTTAAATGATCAAATAAGGAAATTTATTTTTATTCTTATATATCGGTCTATGATCGACATTGATCGAAGCACAGAATAAATATTGAAAAAAAAAAAATAACAAGAAGAATCAATAAAAAGAAAAAAACGCTTGTCTTGATATTATTTAATAATTGATTATTAATAAAAAAAAATCCTAAATACATATTTAGAATTTAAATTAAACTATGATATAACTGAGAAGAGTTTTAAAGAAAGAGTATTAAAAAATAATCAATAATAAAGATATCATTTCATGAAAAAAAAAAAAAAGTGACAAGAAAGATTATTCTTTTCAGTGGAATTTTATAATTTCTATCAAAATTCTATTAAAAGTTCATTCTATTCTATTCTATAATTTAAACAAAACAAAAAAATGATGACTATAAAATAGTTTATATTTTTGATTCGTTCAAAAAGTTCAATAAACTTCAAATATTTGACGGATTTAAAAAAATTTACAACAAAATAATTTAAACAAAAAACAATAAAATTAATATTAAAATAAAATTAAAAATTAATATTAAAAATATTAATATTAATATTAAATATATCTCTCTATTATCCAATTTTTTGATAAAATATTTGCCTAAAAGACATTACGATATAAAAATCGTATTTTACTACTCTCATTTAAGTTTTTTCAGAAAAATAGAATATTTAATATATAAACTAAAAATATAAATTTTTACTATTGTATATCTCATAAATTATACAAGAATTATCAGTCTGTAATTAGATAAACGTTATTAAATGTGTATAGAGCACCATCTTTAATATTAAATATTTTTTATATGATCACAGTAAATATTATTTAAAATATTAATTATTAATAATTATTATGAGTTTATCAATAATATGCATGCAATTCTTAATATATATTAAGAAGTATTTTTTTTGTGTATAAATTTATTTTTGAATTTGATTTGATCTTTTTTTTTATTTTTTTTTTAACAACACTGTAAAAAAATATATAATAATAAATAAATTAAATATTAAATGTAACTAATGATAATTATACAAACTTAACTTATACACAATACAATATCCAATTATTTTTCATTCATTATATGCATAAATGCATAAATATATCATAAATCATTTTATAAAGCTTTAATTATACTTAAACTGCCATTGATTTATATAGATTAATAATTACTGACAGAATAAACTCACATACAAAGATATGAATTGAATATTATCAAAAATTAATTGTCTTTTAAACTGACGTCACGTCTGTAATTTCAATTCTAGATATTGGTTTAGCAGGTTCTACTATTATAAAATCATTTGTATTATTAGTAGATACCCCAATATATAACTGCTGTAGATTTGCCATTATTGAATCAACTTGGATTGGTTGATTTGGCAAACTATTATTCTGAAGTTTATTGAAATGAAGATAACAAATACCACGATGTCCTAACCAAGTTATTTCATTCGGTTTAATACCACGCTTTAATAAAGCATTTTTCAAATCGCGTATTCTCGCGTCGGATGAAATATTGGATAATTTTAAAGAAAATTCAACTTGGGATTTAGATTTCGATTTCAAATTTTGACGATATTGTTGCTTATTTTTATTGTTACTTTCCATTTTCACCTAAAATATTGCAATAATATTATGATATATATTAAATATACATTAATTAAATAGGCATTACCTCAACTATATCAGAAAATTTAAATTTATTAATTTTACGCTTTTTAAGAAAACATGTTTTTACGTGCTTTTATTCTTCTTTTTCAATATCATTAACATTTGAGAAAACTTTCTTTGTGTTAAAATGTTTCTTATTTTTTATATGAGAATAATAATATTTTTTTATTTCTACATCTGAATCTTCTTCCTTTAAAGTTATTATTTTTCCTTCTCTAAAAACAATTCAAATTTTTTACATAAACAATTTAATATATTATATAAATAGACACACACATACACACACACACATATATGTGTATATATAGTATCAATTATTAATATTTCAATATTTACTTCTCATCCATTTTTTTTAGCTGTTGTAATATCTCTATAGATTTAATTTTCCTTTCACTAAGCATATGCCATATAATACAATTAGGTTTTTTTAATTTTGGATTTACTATTATTGTTTCACTAGGTGTAACAATTATATCAACTGGTACATCATATTCCTTAAATATTTGATGAGGAAGATTATCAAAAACTTGACAATCATGCACAGTTGTAATAACTATAGTATCCTGTGTAACTGCACCCATCCTCATCATCATAGCAAATTCCAAGTCTGCAAATCCTTTACCTTTACCAAGTCTATATCCATCACGACTAACACATACAGATCCCAATATCACAAGATCTATCTAAGAATAAATAACATGTAAAATAATGAAAACAGATTTAAATAATAATAAATCTTTATTATCATAATAAATAACATATACCTTTATTTTAGAATTTATATCAAGTGGTTTACCAACTTCTGTCAAACCATGTATTTTTGACAACATTCTTAATTCATTTTTTGAAGCACCAGCAATTGGTGTAATATGAAGAAACAAACCAGATCTTAGTTTAGGAATTGGAACTAATATTTCTTTATTAGCTACTAATGCTAAGAATCTTACAGGTTCTTGTGGTTTGTCTGGATTTATCTTTATAATTTTTGCCTGTTTAAAATTGTCCAATTCTGCTAAACGTTGTGCTGCTTCTATAGCACCTTTGAAATTTGGTATACGATCATATACAGAAAGAGGAAAATTGACTAAATCATTCTTCATCAAATAATCCCATATTTTTTGACGAAAACTATGCTTTGTCACTTCTTGTGCTAAAAAATGTCACAATATCTTCTAATATTAAATATATTTATATTTACTACTTTTTTTTTTAGAAATTATTTCTTTTAAATAATAAATTCAAAATAAAATTTATTAATATTTATAACCTATTAGTGTCTCGTATGTTATTAAATGTTATTTTCAAAATTTATATAAATTTATATTTTATATTTTATTATAATTTAATATAATATTAAAATTAAAAATCACAGAAAAACAGATATTAGAAATGTATATTAAAATTAATTTTTTACAAATAAATATGTTGCATTAATACATATATAATGAATAAATATTTATAATAAATATAAACGATTTATACTCACGTAATTGTTTTCCAGTCATTTTCGATTATTTTGAATAAATTAAAAGTTAAATTGTAAAAGTTAATGTAATTATTTCTATAAAAATTTTATATTATAAAAATAGATATGATTTATTTCCAATTTTTTTATTTTTACATAGATCAGGTATAAGATAGATGATAAAGACTTTTTATTTCTAAAATACTGATTATGCAAAAAAATTAGAGTATTTGATATGCCCTCTATGATTTACAACATATATTTAATTTAATTACAAAAGTTGGTAAAATTAACAGATTTTAAAAATAATTTTTTTAAAAATATTTATATGTATATATAAATATTTTATAAATATTTCCATGCATTATATAATTTGGCTTATATTCATAGATATTTTAACCGATACGAATAACAGATATAGATAATTGAATAGACGGATAATTATTCATAAATTCATATATATGAATTAAATTATTCATAAATTAACAATTATATTTATACTTTTTATTACAATATAATAAAAATAATATTAAAATTTGGAAAATTCTATATAAATATAGATATAAATAATATTAAAGCTAAATATATTTACATGTATTATTATTATATAATTGTAAATATTCTACAATTATAAACATTAATATTTATACAATAAAATCAACAAAAAATTAATTTCGTGAAAAAAAGACAATTAAAAATAATAAGATCGAAAACTGAATGTATAAATCTTGTACAAGCAGTTAAGAAGAACAAATAATGAAAGAATAGAGATAAAATAAACCACTAGCGCTATCTCTCGAAAGAGTCGAAAGATATTTCTTCAAATCAGGATAAAATAGGATAAGAATTGAAGATTAGTACTATCTATTGAATATTATTGAAAATATGTTTTAAAAGATGAAATTTTCGATTTTTACTCTTCTTTATCCTATTCTACTTTATCCTAATTTTAAGAATTATTTTTGATATTCGAAAAATAGTGTTTGTGATCTACTAGATCTTATTCTATTTTTATATTCTCATTATTTCTTTTATATCTATGCCTATATATTCTTTTTATCTATGTTTTATTTGCGGCATTTTAGATGGTGCTGATTGCTCAATTTTTATTCTATTTCTATCTTTTTCCTATTACTATTTATTTTGTTATCTATAATTATTTTTAACACATAACAGGATGTCAATTGAATACAATTTTATTATTTATCTTTCAAAACTATAATGTTTTAACACTTTAATATTAATTCATAATTACTTCATATAAAATGAATGATTTTTAAATATAAAAAAATATTTTGTAAATATTATTTTAGAAAGAATTAAATTGAATTAAATTTGAAAAAATATAATTTTTTTTTTTTGAAAATATAATTTATAATAATATATATAATATATATAATAATTTTTTATTACGGATTAATTTATGAATCAATATCGTATTATGATTGATTCGAAACATTTATTAAAATTAATTGTCAAAATAAATTATAAATAAAAATTTGATCAAATGAAAAATAAATTATAAATAATATGTATAACAATATTTTTTTTGATTTCTAAAAATATTTTGTTAAAATAATTGCAAAATAAAAATTAATTTTTAATTCTTCTTCAATAAAGATTTTTTGTAATTAAAAAGCACATAATATATATAATAATATAAATATAATCATATAAAATTTAATTACATTTCTAATTATTATTATATTATAATTTTCTAAGCTGAATTGGTAATGTTGAGACTGAAATTAAAATGGTAAGAAAATCATAATAAATATAAAATAAAAAATGTATTGTTATATAAATATTACATTTATTTTCTCTTATTTCTATTTTTACACAAAATCATGTCGGCAAACTTATCATAATGAAATTTACTATTAGTAGAATATATATTATAGAAATTTACTAGAAATTTTTATATTTATATAATTTTAATTTTGTCAATAAAATTCATATATATACATACAATTTAATAAACAAGACTTATGTAATTTTATAATAATATAAAGTAGATTATCATGTTTAATTGCAGGAAAATCAGACACAACTAATATAACTAAACAGACATGTTAGACACGAAAAATTGCACTGTAATTACAAAAAAAAATATTCATATTTATTTGTTATTTTATATATGACATACAAAAATTATAATATAATACAAAAATTAATATATTTATAATATATTTTATTAACATATAGAACTCAATAAAAAGAAATAGAATAGTAACTTTATAAAATTAAAAATCTAATATAAAATATGAATTAATGAATAAAATTATTTGAAATTACTAGAAGTATTATTACTAGTGTCATTAAGTTTTATAACGAAAGTTATATAATGAAAGATTATTATATACATTCGATAAACTCCGAAAAAACATGAAATAAAACAATTAAATAAAAACAGAATCATAAACATATATTAGGGATCATTCATAAATAATTGATAAATCATTATTATTAATAAAAGATTATATAGATTATATTTATTTTATAATTTCTTATATAATATAAATAGAACAAAAATTAGTATTTTTTTAATTAAATTTCCCTAATACTTTTCAATTTTATATTACTGATATATATGCGAGAGTGAGATAGTCATTTATAGTTCATCGTAGAAAATGGCTTTACTTGCGAGAAACGTCTGTAAAGTACTTTCACAGGTAATAAACATTTCATTAAAATATCATTTTTTTATTTTTAAAAAATTAATATAATTTTATAAATTACAATTACTTCAAAATATCATTGAATTTTATTAATATATTCAATAAAATGAATTATTAATGACTATTACAAGGACATTACATTACATTATAATAATTTCTCTCAAAAATATATGAAAATCTTATTAAATAAGAAATACAGTTTCAAATATTAAATAATTACGTAGTTGCAAAATATTAAAATGAATAAACGTTCAAAATCAATTAAACAATCGATTTCAATAATCATGTTATTTAATCATTACGTTTACGTTTGTATAGATATAATCTTTTAGCGTAATATTTTTAACTTAATTATATACAAAAAATAAATGTTATTTATATTATATTACATTTAATTAATACTAACTATATTATATTATATTTATTTGTTTTATTTTTAAACTATTAATTAAAATATTTTATAGAGTACTCAGAAAGGAGCTGTCAGATCTTTACATGTAGGAACAGTACGTTTGCAAGAATCGGTAAATTATATATTAAATTATCATTCAAATATATAAAGAATTATATAATTTTCATAATATTTTTTTTTAGGTAATTGAACAAGAAGGAAAAGTAAAATGTACCCTTATACCAGGAGATGGTGTAGGACCAGAATTAGTAGTTTCTGTTCAAAATGTTTTCAAAGCTGCAAATGTACCTGTTGAATTTGAACCTTACTTTCTCTCAGAAGTAAATCCAACTTTAAGTGCACCACTTGAACAAGTATCTAATAGTATTGCAAGAAATCGAGTATGCTTAAAGGTAATTTTATATTCAATATTCAAATTTATTATATATTTATATATTTATTTTATATCACTATATTTATAGGGTATTTTGGCAACACCAGATCATTCTCATACTGGAGAGCTTCAAACTTTAAATATGAAATTACGTAAAAGTTTAGATTTATATTCAAATGTTGTTCATGTAAAATCTTTACCTGGTGTTAAATGTCGTCATAAAAATGTGGATTGTATTATCATTAGAGAACAAACAGAAGGAGAATATTCTGCATTAGAGCATGAATCTGTAAAAGGTGTAGTGGAATGTTTAAAAATAGTAACTGCAACTAAAAGTCAAAGAATTGCAAAATTTGCATTTGATTATGCAGTGAAACATAATCGTAAAAAAGTTACTTGTGTTCATAAAGCCAATATCATGAAACTTGGTGATGGTCTTTTTTTAAAATCATGCCAAGAAATTGCTAAAATGTATCCTAGGTAATTATAATTATTTTTTATTTCAGATAGATTATTTTTAATATTTAGAATTTACATTGAATTAAATCATTCTTTTATTTCAGAATTACATTTGAAACAATGATTGTAGACAATTGTACAATGCAAATGGTGTCCAATCCACATCAATTTGATGTAATGGTATTGCCAAATTTATATGGTAACATTTTGGACAATTTAGCATCTGGATTGGTTGGTGGTGCTGGTGTAGTTGCAGGTGCTAGTTATAGTCCTGAATGTGTTGTTTTTGAACCAGTAAGTTTTGAATATAATATATAAGATATAATAATTCATTAAAATTTTCTATTTATTTACTATTGTTTATTATTTAGGGTGCAAGGCATACATATTCAGAAGCTGTTGGGAAAAATGTTGCAAATCCTACTGCTATGCTTTTATGTGCAGTGAAACTTTTACGTCATGTGAATTTAAAACGTTATTCTGAACAAATTAAAGATGCATTAAATCGTGTTCTAAATGATGGAAAAGTATTAACAAAAGATTTAGGTGGACAGAGTTCTACAACAGAATTTACAACTGCTGTAATACATTGTCTTCGTTAATTTTGTGTTTATATTAATTTTAAAAAAATTCATGTAAAATAGAATCATATAGAATAATAGTATTCGTTTCATGTGGTCAAGAATATTTAATATATCTGTGTTCAATTAGATAGTATTATTGCATCACAAATCTAATTTATCTGCTTTGAGCATTAGAATTTTATTTAGAAAAGAATATATATTATAAATAAAAAAAGTCAACATTTTTTGTGTCAACATCATATTTATAACTGCAGGGTTTGTATTATACAATTAAACAAACCAATTGTATGATAATATTATGAAGTTCAAATTGTACATTAATAAATTATACTACCTCATGTCGTTTTTATACATTCTATAACATAACCTTATTGCATTAGTATTATTTTATATAACAGTTTATAAAAAATATTATAAAAATATTTAATCAAAGTAACATTGAATGAATATAAAATAATATCGCACTTGAATATATTTTATATATTTTCATAAAAGTTTAAGAATTATTAGTGTTTGAAATTTTCATTTTACATTTATATATTTATCAGTATTAAAATCACATTCCGTTTTTACATACAATAAAAATCAAAGTAAGAAATTATCGTAAAAAAACTGTGCCCGATGGACACTGGAAACCATGCAATAGAATTTATTCACCAGGATATTGTAAAAAATCAACTTCAAGTCACGGCTTTAATACAGGTAAATATTATTTTAAACACATTTTTTCATAAGAATTAGTATAACCTGAATCTTAACTTTCTTAACATCAAATGATATAAATAATGTATATTAATTGATTATTGATAAATTTACTCTTATAATTATTAAATAATTATTAAATAAATTACAAGTATAATTTATTGGTATAAATTTGATTTTGATATTATGATAATATCATGTTATATATGTTAGAGGTTAAAAAAAAATAATTAAATTTTTATTCTAAATTATATAAAAGAATTTATAAAATAATATAAATTTTTTAGGATATTCAACAATGTACTGGTCCTTTAGAATTGCTTAATGAATTAAATGCAGAAGGCAGAGCAAAAATAGCAATTTTAAAATCATCTATAGATAAATTAGCATCCATAGCAGAAAGAGAACTTTCAGAAAAAAAAAGAATAGAATTATTAACTGAAGTAGATGTTTATAAACAACAACTTAATACTTCTTTAGCTGCATTTCGTAAAGCTAATGTTGTTAGTGTCTGTGTAATAGATAAACTTGCTAAAGAAGAACTGCTTTCTATGCCTGAAGAACAACAATCTGCTATTCGTAGAAGACATGACAAGAAAAGTCTAGCAAATACATCAAATCAACTCTCTGACAAACTTTTAAGCATATCTAGACACTTAGCTGAAACAACTCAAAAAAGCGCAGATACATTAGATACATTAAGTATGTAATTTCTTTTTTATAATATATTTTAAATTTTAAAATGTGATTTTTAATTTATTACTTTAAACTTTTTTAGTAATATCATCAGATAAAGTTATCAGTACTAAAGATGAATTAGAACATCAACAACAAGCTATAGTTCAATCTGGAAAACTTTTAGGCAAATATGGTAGAAGGGAAGTTACTGATAAAGCTTTAGTAGCATTAGCATTTATATTTTTTCTTGCCTGTGTTATTTATATCTTACAAAAGAGACTATTTTAAAAAGTATAATAATATCATATATCAAAAATTTTAAAATCATTTATAGATATGAAAATTGCATTTTAAAGAAAAAAGTGTCTTCTAAAACATAATTGAATTGTTAATAATTTTATATATAATATTATTTATTATTTAAATTTGACAAAAGACATGTTTTATAACTGTATTATTTTATTAACAATAAAAATATTTATGAAATAAAAAAATTTTCCAATTCCAATTATTCCAATATTTTATTAGCACTATTGAATAAATATAAACTATGTTTGAGTTATACAATCTTATAATAAAAAATATATCATACAAAATTATCATAAAAAATATATCATACAAAATTATCAAAAATATATCATATAAAATTGATATTATTAAAATGATAGAATTATGAATCTAACTAATGAACATTATTATTAATTAATTATTATTTAATGAACATTAATCACTATAATTATTATATATTATATTATATGTATATAATTGTGTTAACTTTTATAATTATTTTATTCATAAATTTTTCCTCAAATATAATTATTTTTTTCATCATTATTCTCATCAACATCCATCTTTTTAAAAAATTCATATTTTGATTATTTATATATAATTACTTATATCCAGCAGAATAATTTACTTATATCCAGCAGAATTTTTTGAACTTTTAATGTCTATTAGTAATTAAATCAGTTTATTAGAAATCAAAATATATTCGTTAAGAATATCCGAACTAACAATACCATTTTTATCACTATCAAAAGCATTGAAAACAATTTGAATATACTTTGCTGGATTTCTTAACGAAAATTTTATATAAACTGATTTTAAATCATTCATGAATATAGTCTTTTTCGAATAATATTATTCAAAAATTTCATATAATTTTTGTACCTCATTCTTTGAAAATTCTATTTGACATGTACCATCAAAAAAATAAATTGCTTCGGAAATATGTACAGTCATTGTTTTTCATCATTGCAAATTTTTTATAAAATTTTAATGAGAAATATTTATTGAAATTTCTAAAAATATTAAAAACAATCTTGTACGATAATTTTTCTAATTTATAAAAAACAATTAATGATATCAAATTTTTTAATATCAAAATTTAAAAAGTTTAACGATATGATATAGGAAATTTAAATATTTTGCAATACAATGTCTTTGAAACAATATTAATTTATTGTTACACTTTTCTTACTATAAATTATTTTTTTTATCTAAATTTTTATTGATATATCAGTTTTTTAGGAATATTTTTGGGATATTTATTGGGAATATATGGGATATTTTCAAGAATTTCCATTTTATGAATGTTCCAATATTTTTGGAATCTCCTGTATATTATATTTGTATTTTTTTACATTAAAATTTTGAATTTAAATATTAATTTAATTATATTTACGGAATAAGCATAATTATTATATAATTAAAATATTTATATAATTTGTATTTGTATAATCAGTATAATTATGCTCAAAAATTTGAATTGAAAAAATAATATGCATTTTTCATCTTAAATAAAACAAAAAATAATTTAATAAAAAGAAATGTGTACATATAAATTATTGATTATACAAATCATATTTTTTCATCGAACATCTTATATATAAAAGCTATTTATTCATGTGTCTCATACACGTGTTTCGTAAAGAATATTAACAGACCAATATATAAAATATATCTTATTTCATTCACTTATTTCACTTTATCTATTTAAAATTTTTATTTATTAGAAAAAATAAAATTCTAATTACTGGAAAAAAGGAAAATGTATTGTATATATGCATTATTTTTCGCGTGATAATTAAGTATGAGTAAATTAGATAATATGAAAATAAGAATTTAATTTAATATGATCTATATTCGTTTATCGCTCGGTCTAAATTCAAAAATCAATAATAATTGCAAAAGTTGGTTACATTTTAAGATGAACAAATTACTTGCAAATTTTTTAACGCAAAATTATTAAATGTCTTTACATACTTTCTTTAGTAAAAATATTAATAATTCAATAGGTTGGAAAAAAAATATATATTATGGTAATATATATAATAATTATGCTCAAGTAATAGCTAATCATGATCAAACTTAATAAAAATGATTACATATAATATATATTTTTCTGTTATTTAAATAATATGCAATTTCTCATTAATCATAATCAAAATGTATTTCGATTTTCTATTATATATAACTAAAATATTTTTTCTTGAAAACTTTTTAATATTTATTGTTTTTTTTAAATACAGATTGAAGTAATTATATAAATATATATTATATATATTACGAAAAAAGATCTATATATCGGTATTATATTAAAAATTGATAACCTTGACATAATGATCTCAAATGTAGGACAGTTTACAATCAACTTAAAATTATTATTATTAATCTGTAATATAATTTAATTGACTTTCATGAATGGGTCAATGATAATAATAATTTTATAATATCTCTATGAAATAATTGCATTCAAATCGGAACAAATAAATGAACAAAAAAGCAAAATCAATTTATTAAATTTAATGATTTTTTTACAATAGTAATTTAACACAAAGCATTTTTAATTAGAAATCTGGAATGCAATTGGTGTACATCGACATTCCAATAAATGAATATATCTATAATTAAATAGTTATTTTTTTACCGCGTGTTCTATTGTGATAAATTTTATACGCATGTAAAATACACAAAAAGATTATGTGTCATGAGTGCAAAATTTATTTAATTCGGCAAACAATAAATAGATATCTAAAATCTTTCTCAAAATCAATGTGACAGAAAAATATCACATTGCGCTATATTTCTTTATCGTTTCATAAAATATATCACAATAAAAACTTATTTTTATATATACTTTTTAATATAAAAAAAAATTATATGTTAATAGATAAAATTGTATATTAATTTATTATTTTTTTTAATAAAATTCATATTTTTTTTTAATATGATAACTTAATTACTCTCTTTCACAATTTTTAGATTTCATAATCGGAAAAATATGAAAGAATTAAAGATAAACGTAAAAGTGTTTACAAATCCAATCATTATATTTTTTTTTAATCAGTAGGATAGAGTTGATATATAAAACAGTAGTAAGCATTCAGCATCATTTCATTGCGAAAGTATACTTGTTACCGCGAGTTACCAGTTTAAACTCTTTTATAAATCGAAAAAAAAAAAAAATATAAATGATCGGATGTTTGCATAAAAGATTTTTATCGATTATATTTGAACAATGAATAAAAATTAAAAGAAAAAGCATTAGTTTAATCAGTTTATTCAAAAAGTGTGAAGTTTAAAAATAAAAGTACAAGACAATCATATAAATATATAACAGGTAATTATTTATCATTTAACTTGATAGCATAAAAATTTGTAAATGTTATCTATAATGCTTCTATAAATAAATATGTATTTGCATATTCAGTTATTTTTATATGTTTTTTCCAGATATTTATTAATTTTTAAAGTGAAGAAATTGAAATTAGCAAAATGAAAATTTTGTTTTTATTTTTATTGTTTATCATCACTGGATATGCAGCTCCTTGGTTTGAAATTATTTTTGGCAAACAACAAGACTATATTTATCAACCATTGAATTATAAAAATCAACAATCAAGGCGACAACAAGGAAAAAGAGGAGAAGAAAGATGGAAAGAAATTTGTAGAACAATAAATGCTGATCCTTATGCTTTTCCAGATCGAATACCTTATCCTTCTGTACCAATTTGTCCTTAAATAATTAAATTATTTAATAATTATTTAAATATGCGTTAAAAATATGAATTTATTGTAACAATATCAGAGAATACACAAAGATATTCACTGGTTATGAGTATTTCAGTCAGTATATAAGTTTACTATATAATTAATAACATAAAAGTACGCAGTCATATATACCTATCAGTATAAATTATGTATCAAGGGATAAATTTGTTAATTCCAATGCCTTTGTACATTAATATAATACGTTTTCCTTTGTATTATGTCACTTAATTAATCGTTGCTATTATATTATTTAAAGCTAAATATTATTAATTTATCTTAATATATTATAATACATCAAGCTCTTTCATCTTTTTCTTTCTTTTTTTTTATGTAGAAAAATAAATCATTTATATTACCCAAAAATCACTCTATTAAAGTAACTTAAGTTTTATACTCTAAAAAATGCATTGTATACAATAGTTACGACTATAAATAATCTTATTTACTATTCATCTATATATTACATATTATGTACAAATAAAAATCACAGAATTACTGTAGCATGAGTTCAATCATAAAAATCTTGATGTTCAATTAGATTGTTTTCTCCAGAAAAAATATACATTAGAAAAATTTGTACATTACATACAGTCTTAAACATGACATGATGAAAGAGAAAACAATCATTTCCAAACTTGTATTAATCCATCTGTACTACCAGTCAGGATACAAGTATTTGACATAGATACCGCGGAAATTGTGTCATGATGTCCAGATGGCGGAGTTTCTGGACCTTGACCACCTTCTTCAGAATTTCTCGTTCTAATGCTATTATTTCCTCCAGATGATGGAATAGGACCACCTCCAGCTAAAACTTCTTGTACTACATTAGTCCCATCAATTAAACGTTGTCTGTAAAATTAAAAATTTTTTTAAATCATATTATATAATCATGTATCTTTTTTAATCATATTATATATAATATAAACTATTATTTTATATTATTTTTATTATGAATACTAACTCATATGCTAATGAATTTGGAGGAGTAACATCAACAGCAGCAGGCAATGCAACATATGATTCATTGGGCGCATTTAAATCCCAAAAACGTAATCTCATATCAGTACCACCAGCTAATAAAAAACCTGAACGATCAATGCATCCAGAATACATTGCACATACACTATGACCACCTTGTGAATGACTAAGAGGAGGTGCACTTGATGCCCAAAGTACCATTTGTCGAAAATCAGTTTCAAGATTCCACATTGAAATTTCGTTATTTCCTTGCACAGCCGAAATAATCCATGAATGTTCAGTAGGATGAGTAATTACTTTTCTTACTCTTGCACCTAAAATTGAAAATGTTTTATAAAATTTAAAAATTATTTCTTATTTTATATGAATTTAAAATGGTTATAAATTTACTTGTAGGATGTTTAATACTAGTTATTGGTAATTGAAATCGTAAGTCCCAGCATGTATGGACTCCAGAACTAGTACCAAGAGTTAACCATTGTTGATAATTATTTACGCAAAATGAAGTAATTACTCCGTGTTTTAAATCATTCTCTAAACGCCACGTTGTACCAGGACATCTTAAATCCCATCCTACTAATGCACCATATAATGATGCATATACAAGAACTGATTGTGAACCCGAATCTAAATATTGTAAATCAACTGCACATCCTTCTTCCTAAGTGTAATAATCCAGAATTATATTAATTTATCAATATTAAAAAATTAATTACATTTTAATAAAATTTATACAATTAATTACTTGAAGATCTAATTGTCTGGTACCAATGACACTCATTTTACTAGAATTTGATTCAATTCGTAAAACAAATACTGTTCCTGATTGACTAGCAGAACTTGCTAATGATTGTCCTTGATCACATATAGCTAAACCAACCAAAGGACCACCTCTGTGCATATAAGTTTGTCTAATGAAATTAAAAAATAATATAAAAATATTATATATTAGAAATATATACAAAAACATATTACATATGGAATATATAGTATATTATATAAAAAATCTACCTAGAGCGATTAGCAATGTTTCGACCTTCCATTTTACTTGCATCCCATATTTTTATGCATCCATCTGCAGAACTACTGGCAAATAAACTAGTATCTGATATAGAAACTAGTCTATTTACTGCAGCTCTATGTTCATGAAGATGTGCAACTGGTACTCCTCGAGGTCTCCATCCATTTGGTAATAATCTTGAACCTTTTTTAATTAAAAACATTTATTATATCAATATTAAATATAAAATATATATATCAACATATAATATAAAAAATATATATTAATTACCAGCTTGCCATGCAATATTATCAGCCCAATGTTGTGCTCTTAATGCAGCAGCATGTTGTTCTTGCTTTCTGTATGTCAATTGTCTTACTTCTAATCTACAAGGTGCACATCTATCTACAAAATTACATAAAAATATGTAATGCAATATTTATATTTTGTATATGCAATATTTTAATATTTAAAATATTTTTAAAACACATACATTGAATATATGAACGTTCATGAAGAGAATGATCATTTATGCTATTTATGTCAGACAAACTATGTTGTGGTGATAAATGAATATCTCCTCCATGTAAACTTTGACTAGGACTTCCATTACTTCCCGTCATATCTGACATTTTAACAGTATGCTATATTATAAAAAAATTAATTATAATTCTATAAAAATTAACATAAATGTAACTCATATATTTTTAATTACTTGAATATTATCTTGAGCTGCAAACATTGTACGCCATTCTTGATTCATTGTTGCATATGTGCCAACACTATCTGATGTTCTACGATCTAATCGTTTAAATGGTGGAAGACCTAAATCGGATTTTGTATCGGGATATAATATTATTATATGATGTCTTATCTTGTCTTTCATAGTATTTAATTCTAACTTTCCTTCCATTGATTTAGTTGTATTCAGCTTCGCATCTACCGAATTTCGATACTTATTAATTTTCATTAAATGTGGCTTCATTGTTATTAATTGATCTTCAACAATTTCAGTCATTGATTCTGAACTTAATCGTCTGAAAAGCTAAAAACTTTGTTTAAATTTCTCGAAAAAAATAAAATATGCTTATGAATAAAATTTACAATTTACATTTCGTAATGAATTATTTGTTTCACTATATTGTGGAACCATTCCTGGCAATGTTTTTGTTCGTGCAACTTGTCTCTGTTCAAGACTTTGAAATAATTCTTCTATATCATTATATTTTACAACAGAGTCATAAACAATTCTTGGTATAGGAGGTACTAAAGCCTCTAATAATAAAATTTCTTTTTCTATTTGAATTAATGGATGTTTTAAATATGGTTGTATCATTGATTGAACTTTGCATTGAACATCTACTAAATTAAGTGTTCGTGCTGCTGCAGATATAAATCCAACAGTTGCATGTCTTATCCATAAGTTTGGATGTACCTATGGAATATTTTAAATTCGTAATACTTTATATTAACAATTACAATTCTTGGTAATTAATCTTGCTAATGACTTTGATACATTATATCTTTGATATATATGTTATTAAAGACATTATTCTGAATAATTTTTCTTTATAACTTAATTAGTAATTTCTTACAATTTTCAAGATAAAAAAAATGGTTATTATTGAATTTCGCAATTAAATATAATATAATATAATATAATATCAATATCAAAATCATTAGCATGCTATTTCTAAAATAAATTTTTAATAATCAATAGTATTAAATTTTAACTTACTAAAAAAACCATAGTTTCATATAAAAGTTGATAAAGAGCAGATTTATGTAAAAGACCTAATTCTGTGAGAGTTGCCATTGCATTAATAGCTTTTGTTGTTACAAATTCTTCAGGATCTGCTAGTCCTTGCTGAAGAAGAGGCATTAAAATAGGACTACTATGCCAACCAACATAAGCAGCTACACCAACAATACATTCAAAAAAAGAACCTCTTAACTCTTTATCTTCTTTATCATTTAAAAAAGTAATAATATGGCTAAGCAAAATATCATTGGCCTTTTGTTTTCCAAAAAATACACATAATTTATTAATTCCACTTTCTATTAATGTTTGTTTTACCAAATTCTGAGGATCTGTTAATAACATGGATACAGATTGTTGCACCTAATAATATTACATATTTTAATATAAAATTTTAATGAGTAATTAATAAGTATTAATAAGTATTAATAAAATAAAATAAAATATAATATTTTATATATATATATAAATATTATAATAAAAAATTAATTACCATTTCATGCAAAGTTTGAAGTTCACTATCATAACTTGGTTTTGGACCTTCTTTGTTACCTAAGTTAGATAAATGAGCATTCTCTAAATACCTTAATGCAATATGTGCTAAATGTGCAATATTTTCTGCATAAGCAGTTCTGACAATTACAGCTTCATCTTGTGTGATATGTGCTAAACCAGGTAAAATGTACTCTGGGAAAATGTTAACATCTGATGGTGGAATTGATTTTACAAGATGCAAACATTTTGTCAAAGTATGTATAGCTGATACTCGTACTCTTGGAGCAGGATCATGAACTAAATGAAACTATACATATAATGAATATTAGATAAACTTTTTTGTTATTAATATTGAAATTATTAATTTAATATAATACTTATAAAATACTTACAATATAAGGCAAAATTCTATCCAATATTGTTTCATCTGATGTGTTTTCAGCAAGTTCAAGTAATATTTCTAAACTTTGTAATTTAGATTGAGAATGATGCAAACCTCTTATACATGAAGTAACAAGTTGAGTAATGATAACTAATCCTTCAACAGGTTCTGAAGATAAAGCTTTTTTTTCATTTTTTAAATCCATTTTTTGATTTTGATTTTCAATTAATTTAACTTCTGATCGCTGATTTCTTTGATTTTCACATTTAGAATCTTCTTTTGAAACAGTTTTTGAATCAGTTTGATTTATATCAGTTTTGTCAAAACTTTGATCACTATCAACTTCTACAATAGTATTATCTTCACTGTGACCAGAATCATCTTTAGTTGATTCTATATTTTTTTCAAATTGATCAATCTTAACCTCCATATTTCTTATATCAGC